CAGGCTGGGGCAGGAGAATTGCCTGAACCCGGGAGGCGGAGGTTGCGGTGAGCCGAGATCGCGCCATTGCACTCCAGCCTGGGTAACAAGAGCGAAACTCCGTCTCAAAAAAAATAAATAAATAAATAAAAAATAAAAAAATTAAAAAATAAAATAAAATAAAAATACAAAATTAGCCAGGCATGGTGGCATCCACCTGTAATCCCAGCTACGTGGGAGGCTGAGGCAGGAGAATCACTTGAACCCAGAGGCGGAGGTTTCAGTGAGCCAAGATTACACCACTGCTCTCCCACCTGGGCAACAAGAGCAAGACTCAGTCTCATAAACAAAGTTAATGGCTTGATGCTTAAAATTAATTGCTGCGTTTATAAATAGAGCCTATCCATTAGCTTTCATCTGGGCAGACCCTGACTGACCACCTGTTCCGCTCATGTTGATGAGGTTGTGGTTCATTGTCCTGTTTCCAATGAAAAGTGTAGAAGGCCAGGCATAGTGACTCACACCTGTGATTCCAGCACTTTGGGAGGCAGAGGGAGGTGGAACACCTGAGGTCAGGAGTTTGAGACCAGCCTGGCCAACATGGTCAAACCCCATCTCTACTGAAAATACCCAAAAAATTAGCTGGGCTTGGTGGCATACACCTGTAATCCCAGCTACTCAGGAGGCTAAGGCAGAAGAATCGCTTGAACCTGGGAGACAGAGGATGCAGTGAGTGGAGACTGGGCCACTGTACTCCAGCCTGGGTGACAGAGTGAGACTCTGTCAGAAACAAAGAAAAACAGAGAAAGAAAAGGGAAGGAAGGAAAGAAAGGAAAAGGGAAAGAAAAGAAGGAAAGGGGAAGAAAGAAAACAGTGTAGAGGCTCTAACCCACTTAGAAAATGGGGGAGGGGACTAGGTCCAGCTTCACTTCTCTCAAGTGTTCTGCTGAGAATCATTAACCAACTGAATGGGATACACGGGCACTGAACCAGATCATCTCACAGAACCAGGACATGCCCCCACTCACCACCTTAAAGGAAATCCCCCATCAGCCCGGCCACGCCTAGAACTAGCTCTGAAACATCTCCACGCAAGAGATCCCCAGGTCGGGTTCAGGTAGAACAATTTCCGTGTGATTTAATTTTGCTTCCTCATTTCTACAATCAGTTACTTCAGGAACTCTTCCGGATGATTCTCTTTTTTTTTTTTTTTTTTTTTTCGGTAATCTGGGCTCTGAAAAATTAGCTGGGTGCAGTGGCATGCCTGTGGTCCCAGCTACACAGGAGGCTGAGGTGGAAGGTTGGCTTGTACTCCAGCCTGGGGTATCAATTTCTCAGCCCCAACATTGTCATTATTGATCATTTAAATACTGTCCCATTGCTGTAACAATACATTCCACTCTAGCCTTGTATTTAAATAGTGGGATGCCTCAGTTGTGGTGTCTCTAGCCAACTCATGTTTTACAGTAGCTTTCCAACTGTCCTTTTTTTTTTTGAGACAGGGTCTTGCTCTGTCACCCAGGCTGAAGTACAGTGGTGCCCTCTTGGCTCAACGCAGCCTCTTGGGCTGAAGCGATCCTCCCTCTTCAGCCTCTTGAGTAGCTGGGATTACATATGAGCCACCACACTGGCTAATTTTTGTATTTTTAGTGAAGTATACACTTAAACATTTTGCAAAAAAAAAAAATTATTTTGCAGCTGGGTGCGGTGGCTCATACCTGTAATCCCAGAGCTTTGGGAGGCTGAGGTGGGCAGATCACCTGTGGTCAGTAGTTTGAGACCATCCTGACCAACATGGAGAAACTCGTCTCTACTAAAAATACAAAATTAGCCGAGTGTGGTAGCACATTGCCTGTAATCCCAGCTACTTGGGAGGCTGAGGTAGGAGAATTGCTTGAACCCGGGAGGCGAAGGTTGAGGTAAGCCAAGACTGTGCCATTGCACCCTAGCCTGGGCAACAAGAGCGAAACTGCATCTCAAAAAAAAAAAAATTATTTTGCAGAGACTCTGTGACTACAAAATATTTTAAAAAATGAAACCTCATAAGAGGGAAAAAAAAAAATAACTGGGTGTGGGCCAGGCACAGTGGCTCACGCCTGTAATCCTAGCACTTTGGGAGGCTGAGGTGGGTGGATCACCTGAGGTCAGGAGTTCAAGACCAGCCTGGCCATCATGGTGAAACCCATCTTTAAAAATAAATAAATAAATAACTGGGTGTGGTAGTATGTATCTGTCATCCTAGCTACTTGGGAGGCTGAGGTTGGAAGATCGCCTGAGCCAGGGAAGTTGAAGCTGCAGTGAACTGTGATCACACCACTGCACTCCAGTCTGGGCGACAGAGCAAGACTTCACCTCAAAAAAAAAAAAAAATTGGCCGGGCACGGTGGCTCACGCCTGTAATCTCAGCACTTTGGGAGGCCGAGGCGGGCAGATCACCTGAGGTCAGGAGTTCAAGACCAGCCTGGCCAACATGGTGAAACCCCCGTCTTAAAAAGAAAAAAAAATTGGCCGGGCGCGGTGGCTCAAGCCTGTAATCCCAGCACTTTGGGAGGCCGAGGTGGGTGGATCACGAGGTCAAGAGATCGAGACCATCCTGGTCAACATGGTGAAACCCCGTCTCTACTAAAATTACAAAAAATTAGCTGGGCATGGTGGCGTGTGCCTGTAATCCCAGCTACTCAGGAGGCTGAGGCAGGAGAATTGCCTGAACCCAGGAGGCGGAGGTTGCGGTGAGCCGAGATCATGCCATTGCACTCCAGCCTGGGTAACAAGAGCGAAACTCCATCTCAAAAAGAAAAAAAAAATAAAATTATGTACATATTTTACTATTAAAAAAATTCCCTGGAGCATGTTTTTGAGGATGCTAACTGAACACACCTGTATTCTTGGCAGCCAGTTCCGGTGCCTGCGGAATTTGCCACAGAACCTGGGAGCACGCAGAACGCAAGGACAAAGGATGTGTCCTCTCAGGAAGGAAAAGACCCTGGCAGGCCTTTTGAATGCTCTTGTGAGGTCATCTCTCTTCTTGGGATGGCCAAGCAGACACCCAGGTGGCTGGAAGGTGACCTTGGAAGCCTGTATTTCAACATCAGAGGATCCCAGGGTCCTCCATGGGACACACAGGCCGAAGCCACTCTCTCCTGCCATGAAGGAGACCTGAAGGCAGAGCCCCCCAGCACTGCCTCACGAGAATCTGTGAACCGCCGGGCCCTCCGACGGGAGAGAAGGAAGATGATAGAGAGGGACATCCTCCAGAAAGTCACCTGGGATGCCTGCAGCCCGGCCAGCAGTGATCAAGGCCAGGTGAAGGAGGCGCCCTGCCCTGCTATGGAATCAGCTCCCAGGCCCAGAATACCCCTCGCAGAGCCTCGGGAGGGACCACCAGTGCTCTCGTTTCAGGTAGGTGCCTCCCCATGCCTGGCTGTTCCTCAGGCCTGTCACCTGTGGCATGGCCACTGTCCCCATGGGCTGGGGCTAGAAGCAGCTTGAGGGCTGCCCACTAGGACCTTAGGCCCATGATCCACCATTCTGTGTACCTGACTTAGCAGGGGATTGGGGCAGTCCCAGCAGAGCACATCCTGGGAAGGGTTAACAAGAACACAGAACAAGCAGGGCCTGCCTTCTTTAAAGAGAGAAAAGAAGGCCAGGTACAGCAGCTCACACCTGTAATCCCAGCACTTTGGGAGGCCAAGGGGAGAATCTAGAAGTTTGAGACCAGCACAGCAAGATCCTCATCTCTAAAAAAAAAGAAATAATATATAAATTTAAAGAGAGAAAAGGGGCCGGGTGCAGTGGCTCACACCTGTAATCCCAGCACTTCGGGAAGCCAAGGCGGGCAGAGCACGAGGTCAGGAGATAAAGACCACCCTAGCCAACATGGTGAAACCCCATCTCTACTAAAGATACAAAAAAATTAGCCAGGCTTGGTGGCACATGCCTGTAGTCCCAGCTACTTGGGAGGCTGAGGCAGGAGAATTGCTTGAACCTGGGAGATGGAGGTTGCAGTGAGCCAAGATTGCACCACTGCACTCCAGCCTAGTGAGAGAGGAAAACTCTGTCTCAAAAAAAGAGAGAGAAGAGGAGGAAGGCAGCAAATCACACTGCCATGTGTGAACCTATGCAACAATCTTGCATGTTCTTCACATGTACCCCCAAACCTAAAATGCAATAAAAATAAAATAAAAGCAGGAAAAAAAAAAAGGAGAGAGAGAAAAGGAATTCTACTCCCAAGCATTTTTATAAATACATATATAGCCATATCTAAAATATAGAAACCGGTTCTGTCCAAGCCTGATCTCAAAATATGAAAGCCCTCTCATTCTCATAAACTAGTGAACACCTGGTAAAAAGCTGTATTTAGTGCATTAATGAGGGAACCAGCAGGATGACAGTGCTGGCTTAATGAGATCATGAGAAATTGGGAATTTTGCTGGGCATGGTGGCTCATGCCTGTAATCCCAGCACTTTGGGAAGCCAAGGCAGGAGGATCACCTGAGATCAGGAGTTTGAGACCAGCCTGGCCAACGTGGTAAAATCCCGTCTCTACTAAAAATACAAAAATTAGCTGGGCATGGTGGTACGTGTCTGTAATCCTAGCTACTAGGGAGGCTGAGGCAGGAGAATCCCTTGAACCCGGGAGATGGAATTTGCAGTGAGCCAAGATCACACCACTGCACTCCAATTTGGGTGACAAAGTGAAACTCCATCTAAAAAAAAAAAAAAAGAAATTGGGATTTTGTAAAACACTGGGGAAAAAGAGAGGAATGAGGAGATATGCTTGCTACATTCAGTGTCCTAGAGGAGTTATCTTGTCTACTAAACAGAAAAGTAACCATCACACCTCTTGGTTTTACAAATTTTGGATAATTTTTCTTAACAGCTTAGAGAAAACTGGTACCAGGTATACACAGAAGTCATCTTCATTACCGTTTAAATCAACTGTTCTTTCTGCTCACCTAAAAACGTGTTTTTCTCCAGTTAGAGGGCTGGAGAGAGTTGAAAAGTCATATGATAAGCATGAATTCTTGATTAATTTCCTCCCTCCTCCTCTCACTCACTCTGCCCCCAGTCACTCACTGCCACGCCTTCCAGTTTTAGCTCCTGCCTGGAACAACTTGATTCTTTTTTTTTTTTTTTTTTTTTTTTGAGACGGGGTTTTTCTCTTGTTACCCCGGCTGGAGTGCAATGGCGCGATCTCGGCTCACCGCAACCTCCGCCTCCTGGGTTCAGGCAATTCTCCTGCCTCAGCCTCCTGAGTAGCTGGGACTACAGGCACGTGCCACCATGCCCAGCTAATGTTTTGTAGTTTTAGTAGAGACGGGGTTTCACCATGTTGACCAGGATGGTCTCGATCTCTTGACCTCGTGATCCACCCGCCTCGGCCTCCCAAAGTGCTGAGATTACAGGCTTGAGCCACCGCGCCCGGCCACAACTTGATTCTTAACAAAACTTTTTAATCTCCAAATATTCTGAACCTGTATGAACCCAAATAGTTTTTCTTCTTCTTTTTTTTTTTTCAGACATACTCTGTCACCTAAATGAGAGTGCAGTGGCATGATCTCAGCTAACTGCAACCTCCACCTCCCAGGTTCAAGTGATTCTCCTGCCTCAGCCTCCCTAGTAGCTAGGATTACAGACACGTACCACCATGCCCAGCTAATTTTTGTATTTTTAGTAGAGACGGGATTTTACCATGTTGGCCAGGCTGGTCTCTAACTCCTGACCTCGTGATCTGCCCACCTGGGCCTCTCAAAGTGCTGGGATTACAGGCATGAGCCACCATGCCCGGTGAACATAAATAGTTTTTCTTAACACAGGATTTGGCTGGGCATAGTGGCTCACGCCTGTAATCCCAGCACTTTGGGAGGCCAAGGAGGATGGATCACTTGCAGTCAGGCATTCAAGACCAACCTGGCCAACATGGTCAAACCCTGTCTCTACTAAAAATACAAAAAATAGGCTGGGCGTGGTGGCTCATGCCTGTAATCCCAGCACTTTGAGCTGAGCTGGCCCTCAGCCCACTTTGGGAGGCCGAGGCTGGGGGATCACCTGAGGTCAGGAGTTTCTTTGAGACCAGCCTGACCAACATGGTAAAATCTCTACTAAAAATACAAAAAAATATATATATATACACAAAAATACTAAAAATACAAAAAAAAAAAAAAGTTAGCCAGATGTGGTGGTACACGCCTGTAACTGGGAGACAGAGGTTGCAGTGAGCCGAGATCACATCACTGCACTCCAGCCTGGGTGACAGAGTGAGACTCTGTCTCAAAAACAAAACTAAACTAAACAACAACACTGGGTTTCCTTCAGGTCAAACAATGTCCTGTGCAAGAAACAAAAGTACTGATCCCCAAAAAAAGCATAGGAAGGAGGTGGGAAAGTGCAGGCGCCACCTTAATGGAGGTGTTTAATCTGTAATCAAAAGGTAAGGTGAAGCCATTTGCAAACTCTGTCATGCATTTCATTCCTGATTTCTACCCCCAACATCCAATGACCATCTCCATGGGTTTCAGCAGCTGTGAAGCAGGTATTTGTGCCTCTGGGACCCCTCAGCATTCACATAATCACTGGTTTTAATGATTTCAGCAACTTGAAGCGTGGGATTTGGATGACATCCTTCAGAGTCTGGCGGGGCAAGAAGACAACCAGGGAAATCGTGCACCTGGAACTGCGTGGTGGGCAGCTGACCGCTGCCAAGTTCAAGGTCTGACCTTGAACACTAGAGCCCAAGTGAACCCCCACAAGCAGCTCCTCCCTGGGACCCTCAGGCACAGCCTTGCAGCCCACAGGTGTCTTCCCTGAAGGCCTAGCCCTGAACACTCATGCTGCCAGTCCTTGAAAGACTTCATTCATTCAACATATGTGACCACCTGCTATGTGCTAGGCATGGGCCAGGTCCAGGGACAAAGAAGAGACCTGCTGACACACATCCCTACCCCAGGACCCATACTTCCTCCTCCCCACCTCACTGGGCCTTCCTGCCTTCCCCCTCCTCTTCCTCAGCCCCACCTTCTGTGCACAGTCAGCTCCTAAGCACGCTCCTGCTTCCCCTGGCCTCTCCATTTAAAAAGGAAGGCAAAGGATGTCACCACTGTCACTACACTCTTGGCTTTGCTCTGGGAAGTCTGCAAGTAAAACAAAAGCTCTCTAACCCCTCCCCACCCACTGGGGCCGCAAAGGCGAGGGGAGGTGGGTCTGAGGCAGAGGAGCCAGGGCAGGTGTGGAGCTTCCGCCTCTCCTCTTGTCCCAAGGCAAAGACTCCCCTGTGACTGACAGCCCCTGAGTTGTCTTAAATATCATTTTGTTTATAATTCACACCATTTATGGCAGGAGGTAGAGAGGTCGACCCTTATGGAGAGCGTGTGTTTGTGTGTGCGCCTGTGAGTGATTGGCACTCCCTTTGTGGAGGAGAGTGGGGCAGAATGTATTCCTTTTTTTCTTTTTGAGATGGAGTTTCACTCTTGTTGCCCAGGCTCTACTGCAGTGGTGCAATCTGGGCTCACTGCAATGTCTGCCTCCTGGGTTCAAGCAATTCTCCTGCCTCAGCCTCCCGAGTAGTTGGGATTACAGGCATGGGCCACCTTGCCCTGCTAATTTTGTATGTTTAGTAGAGATGGGGTTTCTCCATGTTGGTCAGGCTGGTCTTTGAACTCCCGAATTCAGGTGATCCACCCACCTCAGTCCCCCGAAGTGCTGGGATTATAGCTGTGTGCCACCATGCCCAGCCTGTATTCTCTATTTTAAAGGCACATACCCTTTGATCAAGCTGTCTCGCTTGGAAAATTTGTCCTACATTCTTACTCTAGTAGGTAAAGACATGTGTTCAATGATGTTTGCTGCAGTGTTGTTTAAAAATCTGAAATGCTGGCCGGGCATGGTAGCTCATGCCTGGAATCCCAGCACTTTGGGAGGCTGAGGCAGGTGGATCATGAGGTCAGGAGTTTGAGACCATCCTGGCCAACATGGTGAAGCCCTGTCTCTACTAAAAATACAAAAATTAGCTGGGCGTGGTGGCACATGCTATAATCCCAGCTACTCGGGAGACTGAGGCAGGAGAATCACTTGAACCAGGGAGGCAGAGGTTGCAGTGAGCAGAGAATGCGCCACTACACTCCAGCCTGACGACAGAGCCAGACTCCGTCTCAAAAAAAAAAAAAATCTGAAAAGCTGGAAGCAACCCATATTCAGTAGGAGTCCAGCTAGATCATTCTAGCACAGAATACGCTGCAGCTCAATGAGGGGATCTCTATAGGTTAATGTAGAAGGATGTAATATACAAAGTGAAAAAAGTTGAAAAAACCTATAGAGGATGATCCTATTTTTCTTTTTTTACATCAGCACACAGAACTATTCATTATGATCACCTGTGACAAGTGGGACCTGGGCATGAGGAAGTGGGATAAACTTTTAAAAATACATCACTCCTGCTTCACAAAGCTCATGTGCCACAGGCCCTGCTCGTAAAGATTCCACCCCTGCCAGCTCTGCTGAGTCAGAGGTGGAGTCCTCAGAGGGGTTGAGTAGTGAGAGGGCTGGGCAGGGGCAGTGGAGGAGCCTGAGGTCTGTTCACATGCAGAGACCCCAGGGATCCTGAGGCTCGAGCTGCTGTAAGCCACACTCGGGGCCCAGTCCCCAGTAATCAGCCTCCTTTGGCCGTCCTCAGACCACACGTTGCCAAGCGCTCACGACAGGCTCATGGAACAGCTGGCCCTCCTGTGCACCACGCAGTCTGGGGCCTCTGCTTGTGCCCAGAAGATGCCTGCCAACACCCCCCAGGACACCGAGGCAGCAAAGGCCCGAAACAGGTGGGACTCATAGCCAGGCACGGCTCCTGTGGTCCTTTAGAAGAGCCCCATGATTTGGCAGCACTGACTGGGCCTACTACGGGTGGGGTGCTCGATGTGCTTTTTCTCAGTCACCCTCAAACATCTGATCAGGCAGTCGCTCCCCACAGGGAGAAAGGCAAGCTACAGTGAAGCTGGGAGAGGCAGAAGTGGACGCAGAGCCCCAGGGTCCTGCAAGGCCCTGCGATATGCCTGCTCTCCCCACAGTTTGGTTGTAGCACACTTTAGGAATCTGAGAGCCAGTGAATCCCTTTTCACCTGAGCAGCAGTGGATTTCTGTGCCTGGAAACTAAAAGTACCTAACAGAGATGGCTAGGCATGGTGGCTCACACCTATAATCCCAGCACTTTGGGAGACCAAGGTGAGCGGATTGCCTGAGGTCAGGAGGTCGAGACCAGCCTGGCCAACATGCTGAAATCCCATCTCTACTAAAAATACATAAAAATAATCTGGGCTTGGTGGTGCATGCCTGTAATCCCAGTTGCTCAGGAGGGTAAGGCGAGAGAATTGCTAGAACCCAGGAGGCGGAGGTTGCAGTGACCAAGGTCTCACCACTGCAGTCCAGCCTGGGCAACAGAGCAAGGCTCCCCCTCAAAAAAAAAAAGCAAAAAGAAATGGCGAGACCTGCATTGTTAACCATGACAGCCATTGGCCATGTGTGGCTGTTAAACACCTAACATGGCGAGTGTGACTGATAAATTTTTTATTCATTTGATTATAATTGGCTTAAATGTAAACTTAGCCATTTGTGGCAAATGGCTGTACTTACCACAGATAAAGAGCATCTCCATCATCAGGGAAGTTCTGTTGGCCAGTGCTGGCCTAAATCTTGAGGGCTGTTCTGAAGAGTAAAAGAGCAAATATGTTTGATGTGCCCATTGGCAGAGAGTGGGCACTCACTGGGTGGCAGCCATGAGCACTGTGACTGGACAAACAGAGTCATCACAGACAAATGACTCCACAGTGCCTGCTTCTCTCATCTCAGATGTGCTTCCAGGAAGCCAGGCTCCCAGGCCGTGCCAGGCCCACAGCTGGCCGAGCCCATGAGGCTTAACACGGAGCCCCCCACCATCTTCATTGACCTGCGGCAGACGGAGCCACCAGGCCATCTCTTCCCAGAAAGGTCTGGAGGGCAGTGACTACCCCATGACAGCCTCAACTTTGCAAAGTTGCCTGTTGACCTCACAAAGCTGGTGGATCCCACTGGGAAGGACCAGGGATTTCAAAATGCTTTGGATCGTTGCTCAATTGAGAAGTGCTTTTAGCATGGGTGAACTGGGCCTGGCGTAGAGTCCCCCTGGGTCCCTGGAGGGAGGGAGGGAAGAGGGGCACGGGGCACACCCCCTCAAGCTGGGCTTGAGCCCAACACATTAAGCTGGAGGGCATCGCCCACACCTGCCCTCACCTCCTGGCAGGACATCCGCCGGCCTCCAGTGTGTCCATTGCCCTCTTGTATTGGGTCACCAGGGAAGCCCGAGTGCCTCAAGCCCCAACAGGAGTTGGAATGTTGGGTGGAGTGAGCACATCCGGAAACCCATTTCTCTCCCCCACAGCTCCTCTGATAGCGAGGAGGAGGAGGAAGAGGAGATGGCAGCTATGGGAGACACAGAGGGGGCATCTGCTTCCTCCCTGGGGCTACGGTAACCACCAAGGGGCCTCCCGCCACCTGCAGATATCCCCTCTGCTTCCTGCAGGAAGCCCTCCACCTGGCACATTTACCGCCTGTGGTGAGGTCCTGCTGTACCTACCACATAGGGCAGGGGGGCGGCACAGCTTCCATCATCTCACCCATGTCCACTGGGTCCCAGCAGTGGCAGCGGTGACTGGCCACCTGAATGGCATTCTTACTTTGAAATGGGAACTGGGCCCACCTGCTTTTGTCCTGTTTCAGTGTTGAGTGCTGGGAGGTGCGGCCCCCACAGGGCTGAGTTTGGTCTCGTGTCACAGGAGCTATACCGGGAAGAGCCAGCTTCTCCAGCAGCTCAGGGCCTTTCGGAACAGGACAGCCCAGCTTGAGCTGCCTGCCAGCAAGGGGCCTGGTGGTGGTGGGGCTCAGGTCCCTGAAGATGCTGCTGGATCAGGAACTTGGAGGAAGCAACACATGAAGCTCTGCGCTGAGAGGCAGAACACCCAGGCCCAACTCCCAGGAGGCAGACCCAGAGCCCTAGGGGACACTCTAGAGTCAGAGGCAGCCAGGGAGGCCCTGGTACCTCCTCTGGACCAACTGTAGACACCCAGGTAGTGGGATCCCAGGAGTGGGCGGGGGCGGGCTGACTTGCCATGGACCCTGGGCCCTGCTGTCCCTTTGCTCTCCCTGCGTTTCCACTAGCAGGGGGCTTCCAGAGGCAGGGACCCTCAGACCCTGTTAGAGCTCAGCCACAGATGTATGCCTTTAAAGCAAGGATGCAGACACAAATCTGTACCTAACACACGACAACAGCTTGGGATAATGGGGTCTGGTCCTCTAAGAGATGGGCAGGGATAGCACGACGGGTGAAATGCCATGCCTGGCTCTTAATGAACTTTTTGAAAGGGGGTAACAATGAGAATTGGCTTTCTCTTTCTCTTCTTTACCTAAGATAGGCACACATAGACTCTCAAGGCCTTTGACCTTTATGAATCTAGACAGAATACAGGAAACCCCTGGAAACGCTGTCCTGTGTAGCGTGGAGCAGAGGCCTCGGTTGCTGATCACCACCAAGAGCTGGGGACAGCTGCTTGCCCCTTGCCGAGACCCACTCCAATGACAGGACATGCCTGGTCTTCCTGGGTCCTGTTTCTTTGCCAGCACCATCCTGCAGCCCCATCTTCACAGGAAACTTTTGTAACTGCTGTGATCAGCCCTGACCTGGGCACCTGCTCTCTCCCCCACCTTGTCTCCAGGATGTGTCCTGCTGCCTGCTCTGTGGGAAGAACAGAGAAATCACCACCTCCGGCCCCACTGCACCTCAGGCTCAGGCAGCACAGCAGGGCGCCTGGCCTTTGGTCAAGTCTCCCAGCTTCCCCTGTGGCTCACCCCCCTCTGCCATGCCACCAAGGATGGGCAAGGGTCTCTTTGCATCAAGCCTTATACCAGGCAAAAGACAGTCTGGCCATGGCCACAGGCTGCCAAGACTGGGGCCACAGACCTCTGCTCTCCAGACCCCATGTGATCTAGCAACGGACCCCACACCTGACCTCACTCCCAATGATGAGTGTTTTCATTACAAGCCAAAGGCAAGACAGGATACCACAAACTCCCAGGAGGCCCCTCCTGCAGGGCACAAGGCCAGGCTGCCTGCCTCCCAGCTCCCATGCCCTCTCCCACCTGCAGAGACCCTACAGGCAGCCAGAACCGGGCTACAACCCCGTACTCTGCCCTCACAGTCTGGCAGCCTCTGCTGTGGCTGCCTAGCTGTAAAAAGCAAAAGCTGTTCTTATTCTTTAACCCCATTTTCTTCCATCACCCCCCGCCCCTTTAATGCCAGTAAGTTCACTGAGAATGTTCCACAGTGATGGAGAATAAATTGTTCCAAGTTCAACTCTGTGAATTAGTGTCTGTCAAGGCAAAGGGAAAGGGGTGGGAAGTCAGACCTGGATCCTAAGTTGGCTCCACCACCCAGGCAAGGTTTTCACACTCCCAGTGCCCCAGTTCCTCCACCCAGAGAATCATGGCCAGGCGCGGTGGCTCACGCCTGTAATCCCAGCACTTTGGGAGGCTGAGGCAGGCAGATACGACGTCAAGAGATCAAGACCATCCTGGCCAACATGATGAAACCCCATCTCTACTAAAAATACAAAAATTAGCTGGGTGTGGTGGCAGGCGCCTGTAGTCCCAAGTTCTCAGGAGGCTGAGGCAGGAAAATTGCTTCAACCCAGGAGGCGGAGGTTGCAGTGAGCCTAGATCGGACCACTGCACTCCAGCCTGGCAACAGAGAAAAAATCCATCTCAAAATAATAATAATGGGAGCCCCCCTACTGGAATGCATGAGAGAACATCACAACATGCATGCACTTGGGACTCACAGCTCCTGTGACACTCCATCACGTGAGCACTGAGGATGACACCCAGATGGGAAGGGACCCTCTGAGCCAGCGAGAGGCCCTGGCCACAGCAGAACAAAGGAAGTGGGCAGACCCCAATCACACTTTCCCCCAGGCTACCACCTCCAGCACAGGCCTTCATGTGAGAGGCCTGGGGGCTCAGGCTGCAACGGGCAGATGGGTGTCAGCAATACCAGGTGCTTTGCTAGCTGGTGGGAAGGTGACCTGGCCACATCTAGCTGGGTACCTTATGTCCCACGAGAGCTCCGAGAGCTGATCTAGAAGGTAGGAGCCGTTCCTCAACCAGGCAGCCTCACTCTGCAGACAAAGGACAGAGTACACAGGGGCCAGAGGCACTGACTACTTATGTTAGTTAAGGGAACGAGGAAAGGGCAGGTCACGCAGCTGGAACATGGGCTGTGCCACAAGATCAAACTGTGCACGTATATACGGTGACTGTGTGACAAATGGAATGGAGCATCCCAGGCTGGGCCAAGGGCCAAGGCTACCTACCCATGAGGAACCACCACTGCCCAGCTGGAACATTCCAGAACCCAGTGGTGTCCACAGCCGTCCTATGACTTCTGAGACAACTACACACACCGAAGACTCTATTACACCACTCGCCTCAGCCACTCACACACTGAGATGATGTGTACAGACCAGACGCTCCCACACAGCACAGGCCAGACAGAAGCTGGAAGGTGAAGGCTTCTTACCTTAGAAAGACAAAGTGGGGTGACCATGGAAGGCCATGTCCCAGACACTAAGGAGCCAGAAGCAAAGGTGGCCCTGAACCTCGTCCCTGGGGAGGCGTCAGGCCTGTCGCATCCCTGGTGACAGGTCAGGAAGATGGAACTCAGGGTTGTGTTCCCGCCCCAGGTGTCTGCCAGCCTGCAGGGCAGATATGGATCTGCAAAAGGGACTGGAATGCTGGCCAGCCCCAGGCATTTGGAAACCCTAGCAGGATGGAGGAGAAGCTGGAGACCAGGTCCTGGGAAGGCTGGGGTACATCAGGGATCCTTACGGCAGGCCAGAGAGGGGCCCCTCAAATTCATGTCCACCCAGAGCTCAGAATGTGACCTTGTTTGCAAACACCAGTTTTGATGATATAATTAGTTAAGATGAGGTTACAGTGAATTGGGGGAACCTAAACCAAGTGAGTGGTGGCCCTACCAAAAAGAGGCTGGGCATGGCGGCACACATCTGTAATCCAGCTACTAAGGAGGCCAAGGCCAGGAGGATCACTTGAGCCCAGGGGTTCGAGGCTGCAGTAAGCTATGATCATGGCACTTCACTCCCAGCTGGGTGACACAGCAAGGCTGTCTTTAAAAAAAAAAAAAAAAAAAGGCAGGGGAGGACACACAAAGATGGCGCACAGGGTCACAGACACACAGGGGACGGGTAGGGACGCAGTGATGAGGGTACACGCCAGCAGCTACCGGATGCTGGAAGAGGCTGATGGACCTCCCAGGCCCTCCAGGAGCCAGCCCCACCAACACCTTGGGTACGGGCTTCTGGCTTCCTGAGTGTGTCACCGTGTCTGAAGTCCTCGCTCTGTCTCGTCTGTTCTGGCCGCCACTGGACACTCACATAGCCTGTCCTTGCCCTTGCTCTGTACCCAGTGCCCAGCTTCCTCCTTGGTCTGAGCATCCCAAATGTCTCCTGCTGACCTCATACTGGGCCATGGGAGGCAACAGGCGATGCTTTCGGACCAGGGTCTCTGGCAGCTTCCTGAATTCTGTGCCCAGGGACGAGAGTCCTGGAAAGGCAGTTTCAGATATGGTGATCAGGCCTTGGCCCCGGGGCCTCCAGGAGCCACTGGCGGGAGCGTCAGCAGGGAGCCTGCCCCCATGTGGGTCCGCTGGTGCTTGTGCAGGTCGGTGCCCCGGCGGAAGCCCTTGCCACAGGCCGGGCAGGTATAGGGCTTCTCACCTGTGTGCGTCCGGCGGTGGGCGCTGAAGTGGGAGCTGTTGTTGAAGCGCTTCCCGCACTGGGTACAGGCGTAAGGCCGCTCCCCGCTGTGCGTCCTGCGGTGGATGACCAGGCTGGAGCTCTGGCTGAAGCGCTTCCCACACTCGGGGCACGGATAGGGCTTCTCACCCGTGTGCACCCTCTGGTGTGTGCTGAAGTTGGAGCGGTCGCTGAAGCCCTTCCCGCACACCAGGCACTTGTAAGGCCGCTCACCCGTGTGTGTGCGCTGGTGCTTGGTCAGGTGGGACGTTTTGCTGAAGCCTTTGCCACACTCGGGGCAGGTGTACGGCTTGTCAGCCCCATGGGAAGCCCCTCTTCCTGATGGGGGGCCACCTCTTGGTTGCCCAGGCCTGGCCAAGCCCCTGACTGGGGCTGGCCTCTGACTTGGGAGCGGGTGGCCAGGGCCCTGGCATCGCGCCGAGAACACTCGGTACCACTCCATCCTCACCGGGGCGTCCTCTCTGCCATCACCACCATCCACCAACGGGATCACAGGTCCTGAGACAGAGAAAGCATAGTCTCTAGGAATTCATGGCAAGAGGGCAAGGGAAATGATTTGTTTTTCTTGAGATTCAGTCTTGCTCGTCTGCCAGGCTGGAGCGCAATGGCATGATCTGGGCTCACTACAACCTCTACCTCCCAGGTTTAAGTAATTCTCCTACCTCAGCCTCCCCAGTAGCTGGGATTATAGGTGCCTGTCACCATGCCGAGCTAACTTTTGTATTTTTAGTAGAGATGGGGTTTCACCATGTTGGCCAGGCTGGTCTCAAACTCCTAACCTCAGATGATCTGCCCACCTTGGCCCTGCAAAGTGCTGGGATTACGGGAGTGAGCCACCGTGCCCAGCTGAGAAATGCTTCTAATAGAAAGGAAGATGAAGGCTTTATGGGGCTCCTAAAGTTCCCGTACAAAACGTCTAGCAGGGACCCAGCATGGTGGCTCATGCCTGTAATCCCAGCACTTTGGGAGGCTGAGGCAAGAGGATTGTTTGAGCCCAAGAGTTCAAGACCAGCATGGGCAAGACAGGGAGATCTTGTCTTGACAGAAAATAAACAAAACTAGCTGGGCATGGTGGCGTGTGCCTGTAGTCCTAGCTACTCAAGAGGCTGAGGTGGGAGGGTCACTTGCATCCAGGAGGTCAAGGCCGCAGTGAGCCGTGATCATGCCACGACACTCCAGCCTGGGTGACAGAGTGATACCCTGTTTCAAAAACTAAATCAATAAAACAAACACACAGGAACTTATTTAACCATCACAATAAGCAGTGGGTCAGTGCTGTTACTATCTCCATCTTGCAGATGGGGAAACCGAGGCACCAAAGTGTTAAGGAACTTACCCAGAATCACTGGGCTGGTAAGTTACAGAGCGAGGGCCATCAAGCTCTGGACTCTGCTGTATGCTCTAAGTCAGTGGTTCCTACCTGGTGGCAAGGTCTGGAAACATTTTTGTCAAGTCTGGGGAGGGGGTTGTAAGTAGTCTCTAATGGGCATGGGCCTGGGCAGCTGGAAAAGCTCCTGCCAGCACAGGCAGCCCCATGTGAAGAGCCATCCGGCCCAAACGTCAAAAGCGCCAACGTTGAGAAGCCCTGCTCTGGGCTGCTCTGGCTGAGCAGGGCAGTCATGGGTCCCAGCCATTGGCCCTCTGTTGTCATATACTTGGTGCAGCCCCTGAGGCCCCTCTGTAGATCCAGGTTCTAGAGCCGACACCGTCAGGACAGGAGAACAGGGAGAGGGGCCTGCAGTGATCCAGGCTTTGCCACTTCCAGGAAAAAGCCCTTGACTTCTCTGTTCCTCGTCTGCAGCATGAGGGTGACAGGGTATCTGGTGGCACAAAGCACACCATGATGCTTGGTGGTGTGGGGGAGCAGCCGTCTTCACACCAGTCCGGAGAGAAGCTCTGTGCGTGGCAGGCACACGCTGACCCCACAGGGGAGGGACAGAACCACCCACTGCCCTTGGAAATGTCCACTTTAAGATACTTCCACACCCAGAGCTCCTGGGCGAATCCTCCTTGCCCTCCCCTCCCATCTCCAGGCCCAACTTCTGGAAAGCCAAAGGTGGGTTTGGCGCTTACTGAGCCTCAAATTCTACATCTATAAAAGAGGAAGCTGGGCGTGGTGGCTCACGCCTGTAATCCCAGCTACTTGGGAGGCTCAAGCAGGAGAATCGCTTGAACCCGGGAGACAGAAGTTGCAGTGAGTCGAGGTCATGCCACTGCACTCCAGCCTGGGTGACAGAGTGAGACTCCATCTCAAAAAAAAAAAGTTTTTGAGCCTGGGTAACATAGTGAGACTCTATGTCTACCAAAAAAATTTTCCAAATTAGCTGGGCATGGTGGCATAGGCCTATAGTCCCAGCTACTTGGGAGGCTGAGGTGGGAGAATCACCTGAGCCTGGGAGGTTGAAGCTGCAGTGAGTCAAGACTGTGCCA